TAATAGGGCAACAAACCGTGCTCGGTTTGACTCGCTCGGGTCCGAACGCCACACACGCTCTAGTCTCCTCTTTTTTCGCTTCATTGCTGCCAGCTCCTCGGTGAACCAAGGAGCTGGTTTAGCTCTGCTACTTGAGAGGGGACGTTCCGGAGCGATCGTGTCTATTGCCCTGGTCATCTCCCCATTCCAGAGAGCCACCAGGGCATCGACAGGATCACCAACCGAGGCAGCGGGAAACTCCCCAAGAGCCGTCAGGAATCCATTCGGATCCATAAGCCTCCTGGGGCGGACCATCTTAATGGGTCCTCCACCTCTGCAGAGGTTAGGGGGTGCAGTGAGTCTAAAGCTGACCAGGGTCGGTCCATGGCAACGGAGAGATCGACAACTCCTCCACACCGCCACCCTGCTCCCATCCCTGACAGAAAACCAAGTCCAATGTGTGTCCAGCACAGTGGGTGTGGCCAGTTATTTGTTGGGACAGCCCCATGGTTGCCATGGCAGACATGAAGTCCTGAGCTGCTCCTGAAAGGGCCGCCTCGGCATGTACATTGAAGTCCCCCAGCACAACAAGGCGTTGGGACTCCAATGACAGGCTCGAGACCACCCCCGCTAGCTCAGGTAGGGAGACTGTAGTGCAGCAAGGTGGGCGGTACACTAACAGAATCCCTATTCTGTCCCGGTCTCCCACCCTCAGGTGGACACATTCAAAATTTGTCGACTGTAGGATGTAGCATTGCACTTAAACGTGTTTTTTTTAAATCCTAAAATGGCACATGTATTTTCAACTGCTGCAATTCTTATGACTTTCTATTTTGATGGTGGGTTTTTTTTTCTTGTTCTGCCTTATGAATATAAACTTTTCTGAACCCGATTCACTATATTTGGAAGCTGACCTCCCAGTTTCTAACGGGACAATGTTTTAATCAAAGGCTTTCTATGTGCTCTAAATTGGGAAAGAGGGGGAGCTGATCTGCCATATTATGGTTGGGTGTTTGCCACTGAAGCTCTCCATATTTGAAATCCACTCTTGCCAGAAATAATTCTGTCCTGGGGCTTTATCACACTATACTGGTATCATGCTATTATTAATTGCCATGGATTTCTAAATGTCCCATCTAAACCGCAAATCCCAAAATTCCATGGTCTGTTTACGTGACAGTGCTAAAATGGAACTATAGCACAATACTAACAACAACAACAACAACAACAATAATCCTTCTCACCGTGAAGGGGACTCAGGGTGGATCACAGTACGCAAACATGGCAAACATTCAATGCACTTTTTTTGGATGGAACAAAGACAGACAGAACAGAAAGGAGGTATATTGTGTTGTGTTGACATCCAATTGAACATCCAGCTTGTTGGTGCCTTTGGAAGTTGCCAGCACAGAAAGGTGCTGTCGCTCCATCCTCTATGACAAAGAGCCATCAGGACTTCCTCCTTCCTTTTGGTCACCGGCATTCTTTGTAGTTGCAGTGTAGTTGTAGTGTAGTTGTACACTACTTTGTAGCTGTAGTGTAGTTGCAGGCATTATCAGTCTGTGACCTTCCAGCTGTTTCGGCTTCGAAGTCCCAGAATTCCTGACCATTGAACAAGCTGGCTAGGGCTTCTGGGAGTTGGAGGCCCAAACAGCTAAAGGGCCACAGTTTGAGGATACCTGATACAGTGTGATAGAACTGAGAGTTTGTGTACTAGAAATATTGGACTGTTTTCACACACTCTTACATCTGCTTGTCCTTTAATACTAAACAATGAAATCACAGCAATTTCACTTTGGGCACATCTACACTGACCACTTAGGTTGTTGTGAGATTAGATCAGCCCTGCAGCTGCTAAATGCTTCATGGTGGCTGATCTGGGTTAGCCCTGGGAGAAACCTAGAACCAGAGGCAGTATTCAGGTTGCCGTCCAAGTTAGGGAGTGTCAAGACATCTGCGCCAGTTCCTAACTGGCATGAGCCACAGCTGTCTTGACAGTCATCCTGTGTTCCCCAGACTCAGGCGATCTGTGGACATAGGATGGCACTCCCTTCAATCCCTAGGTAGGTGGGGTGTCACATCTGGAAACACAGGGGACACAGCGGGAAAGCTGGCATTTAGGGTTCCTGTCCAAGAGCACTGAACTGTATTCGGTACAGCTGGGCAGGGGGAACCCTATGCCACCTCTAAGGTGGCTCAGGGAATCCCTATTGGGCCATCAAACAGGCTTGATCTGGTGTCTATGATGCCAAATTGAGTCCACTTCCAGTGGTTGGTGTAGAAAGGTATTTTATCTACCATACCTAGCTATATCCTAGAAAATCCCTGCTGTTTTAATATTAGGGAAGGGGGAACTAGAGCTCTCTGTCTGATCATTCTAAACTGCATATCCCAGAATTTCATAGGATAAAGCCATGGGTCCAGGTTATCTACAGGATCACCTTCTCGTGTACAATTTGCTCCAGACACAGGTCCTCTGGAGGCAACAACTTCATCCAGCAGAACCCAATTGGTAACCGTCACTCAGACACCTTTTCATGGACCGCCTCAAGACTGTGGAATGGCCTCCAAGAGCTGAACCAGCTGCAGGCCTACCCAGTCAATTTTTAAACATTAATTTCAAATTTACATTCTATAATTATTGCATTTTAATATACGTTCCATGTATTTTAATATGTGTATATTATGAAATGTGTTTTAATATATGATTTTTATTTAATGTATTTCATTCACGATTATGTACTTTAACTGTGTTGTGCCCCTTCTTCAGCTATGAGGAGAGGCCAGTAACAAATAAAAATATTTATTATTATTATTATTATTATTATTATTATTATTATTATTATAATATAACAATTATAGTTCCACAACAACTGGCCTTTAAATATAAGTATGTTCGTTGCAAAGCTCAAACTTCCTTTCCTCTCTGTACATATCAATATTCTTTTTGTGTGAGAAGTCTGTGACCTTAATGGGCAACAAGTCATTGCATTTCATAATTACTATTTTCCAAGTTCTTTTTTTTTTAGGTAGCAGTTGTGAACTGTTTGGATAAATCTATAAACCATTTGCAAAGACAATTGCAACAGAAGTCACTATTCTCAATATAATTCATAACCTCTCTCTCTCTCTCTCTCTCCCCCCCCCCCCCTTCATGGTGGCATATTTAAGACATTCTATGTATTGTCGAAGGCTTTCATGGCTGGAATCACTAGGTTCTTGTGGGTTTTTTCGGGCTATAGGGCCATGTTCTAGAGGCATTTCTCCTGACATTTCGCCTGCATCTATGGCAAGCATCCTCAGAGGTAGTGAGGTCTGTTGGAAATAGGACAATGGGTTTATATATCTGTGGAATGGCTGGGGTGGGGCAAAGAGCTCTTCTCTGCTAGAGCTAGGTGTGAATGTTTCAACTGACCACCTTCATTAGCATTTGAAGGCCTGCCTGAGCCTGGGAAAATTTTTTGTTGAGAGGTGTTAAGATGTGCCTGGTTGTTTCCTCTCTGCTGTTTTGCTGTTGTAATTTTAGAGTTTTTTAATACTGGTAGCCAGATTTTGTTCATTTTCATGGTCCAAGTCAATAAAGAAGCACCATTAAAGCCTTGGCAGACCGTGCAAAAAGAATCTGCGAACCCCACCTCCTCCAAGATGAACTGAACCACCTCAACTGGGCTCTCCAGGCCAATGGATACTCCGCCTCAGACATCAGAAGAGCTGCAAGACCAAAAACAAGCCATGAGAGTAAAGATGAAGATCCACCCAGAGGAAAAGTGTTCCTGCCATACATCAAGGGAACCACTGACTGCATGGGGAAGCTGATGAGGAAACACAACATACAAACAATCTACAAACCCACCAAGAAAATCCAACTCTGCAGGAGTCTACCGTATACCATGCAGCTGTGGACAAGTCTGCATAGGGACCACCAACGCAGCGCCCAAACATGAATCAAGGAACATGAAAGGCACTGCAGACTACTTCAACCACAGAAGTCAGCCATAGCAGAGCACCTGATGGACCAGCCTGGACACAGCATATTATTTGAGAACACAGAAATGCTGGACCACACCAATGACCACCATGTCAGACTACACAGAGAAGCCATTGAAATCCACAAGCATGTGGACAATTTCAACAGAAAGGAAGAGACCATGAAAATGAACAAAATCTGGCTACCAGTATTAAAAAACTATACATCCCAGTAACTACAACTCGCATATGTCAAGGTCTATTTTCCCCCAAGAGCCTCAAGAGCGCCCCTGGGTATAATCAACTATACTGCAAATGCTTACTTTGTGTAATGGGTTGAGCTGCCCCTGGTGGCATGCCTTGTCTTAGGCAGCCTTGAAATAAATTTAAATAACCCCTAGAATCTCAGATTTTGTTCCAGTGTTTTATTCACATTATCTTTTTTTTTCATATGAAAATACTTCCTAGTTTCTCCCAGCATTGCCAAGGATGTTTTGTTCCCATTCCCTGGGTCAGTGTAAAATTTCTCAGTATTATCCAAAATGAAATATTATTTCTAGTTGCCTTCTTTGTTTCTACGTTCTTGAAACTACAGTAGTTAAGATAGTTATTATTTTTAAAACACAGATTCAATTGAGAACACACAAGAAAATGAAGAATGCCGGCACTGATACAAAATAAACATCAACTACTGTGAGATTGCTAAAGAACTTTAGAACTAACACCATACCTTCCAAATAATAATTTAAAAGGCTCAATGGAAATAGGAGAAAATCATTATCTGATTTTATAATGAGACTGTTTGTGGCTTGTGATTAATGAGACAGGGAAGGACACAAGGAGAGGGGAGGAAGCTGGTATATTTCAAGAAACAGACTAGATGCAACATGTGAATAAGCAGGTACGATGTCTTGAACCAGTTTTTTATGATGTACGTATCTTCAGAATGCCCAGCCCTCTGTATATTCATTTGCTATGCACTCTTTGCAAAAGAACTTAATGGCAATAATAGAAGAGTAACAGACAATACATATTTTAAAAAGTTACAGACCTACCTGCTTTTTCTCTATCCAGTTTCTGAGACAGCATCTGTAAGAAATAATAATTGTCTTTAGTTGGCAAGACATTTTGCATCTTAACAACAACAACAACAACAACAACAACAACAACAACAACTTTATTTTTATACCCCACCATCATCTCCCCAAGGGGACTTGGGGCAGCTTACAAGGGGACATGCCCGAAAATATGAAGTAAAACATACACAATAAAATAAAAAGAGAACAGATTAAAATCAACAACAACAAGAACATCAGAAACACAGTATCAAACACAAATGCACATTTTTAAAACAGTATAATGGCTGAAAGATTAGGTGCTTAGTGCGGAGGGATTAGGCAGTGTTCTCTCAAATGCAATATAATTCTTAATCTAGGACTTGGGACCTCTGGGGGGGAGTCGTGAGGGGGTATCACAGGGGTCGCCAAAAACCATCAGAAAACACAGTATTTTCTGTTGGTCATTAGGGTTCTGTGTGGGAACTTTGGCACAATTCTGTCGTTGGTGGGGTTCAGAATGCTCTTTGTTTCTAGATGAACTGTAAATCCCAGTAATTACAACTCTCAAATGTCAAAGTCTATTTTCTGCAAACTCCACCAGTGTTCACATCTGGGCATACTGAGTATTTGTGCCAAGTTTGGTCCAGAGCCATCATTGTTTGAGTCCACAGTACTCTCTGGATGTAGGTGAACTACAACTCCAAAACTCAAAGTCAATGCCCACCAAACCCTTCCAGTATTTTCTGTTGGTCATGGGAGTTCTGTGTGCCAAGTTTGGTTCAATTCCATCATTGGTTCACAATGCTCTCTGATTGTAGGTTAACTATAAACCCCAGCAACTACAGGTCCCAAATGACAAAATAAAACATCCCCAAAAGCCCACTATACTTGAGCCAGAAGCAAACAAGACAGTATCTATGCAGGAGGATAAATAGACACAAATTGGACATTAGAAGTGGAAATGCCCAAAAATTCAGTTGCACAATATTTCAACCTCCTATAGATATATAGGATGGGATTTATAGGCAGCAGTCCTTGAACAAGGAAATTTCAAAGGAAGTCTAGTCAGAGAAGCAGCTTAGCTAAATCAGATCCACAAATTCCAGTCAATTTGCAGAGATATGAACAAAGGCAATGGGTTCATGACATGCTACAAGAGTTCTTAGTGTATACATAACAAAGGGAATATTCTCAGATAATGTTTTGAACTGAAGGAAATTGACTTTTGGGAAGATTTATTGCTTTCCACATCAACACTGACTATTGTAAAGATATGAAGAACCTCTATCACTTTACACAGCCTTTTGAAAACTTAGAGCAAGTGTCATCTTTCTTGATTCTTTTAAATGCCATCCCATAATTATGCTTTAGGCTAGATATCACTATATTGCATCCAGAGAAGTGGGTTTGCATCCATGAAAGCTCAAGTTAAATTTAAAACCAGGATCTAAAAGGTGGTGTGCTACATTCCTTCTTTATTCCCCTCCTGTTCTATTTGCCCTTTTTGTTATCCAGTTTCTGAGGTGGGTGAAATTCAGTACTATGTGGGTATCTATATTGCTCAAGGGTTATATATATTTTCATATATTTTCTTAGTGCCAAATCAGCCAGGTTTGTATAATTTATCGGCTCCATGCACACCAGATGTTATGGCCTATGTCAGGCATGGGCAAACTTCGACCCGCCAGTTGTTTAGGACTCCAACTACCACAATTCCTAACAGCTGGTAGGCTGTTAGGAATTGTGGGCGTTGAAGTCCAAAACACCTGGAGGGCAGAAGTTTGCCCATGCCTGGCCTATGTGCTAGGCAAGTGATGCAGCTCATGTGGATCTAGCTGCCTCTGATTTTCACAGTAATATGGATGAAATGTTTATTTTTTCATAATGCAGCTTGTGATTTTTAAATTTACCACTGTAACAGAGGTAAACAATATGCTTTTGAAATGACATCAATAATCTGAAATACATTTTAGTTCAATTCAAACATGTGTCCATCCTTATCACCCAATCCTTTCTGATAAATTATGTAACAAAAATACAGACTGTGTTTGAGTTTAACCTGACAGATTAAAAAACATTTATAGAGATAATGCATTTTAAACAACTTAATAGCAAAATCCATAGAGTGCCAACATTTTTCCTGAGCTATATGGAAGTATGCAAACTTAATCCACAAAAAGCCCAATTTAAGTCACAAAGCACAGCAAAAGCACATATGGGCAAGGTGGCTCTGATCAACACACACACACACATACACACGCACATAGCTGCTCAGATATTTTACAACTCAGTACCTCATATCCATTTCACTGACAAGTACACAGTGTTAAATGCAACACATAATTTTACTAGCAGTAGTTAAAATAAGCGTCAGTCAGCCAAGCATTAAAATATTAATTCAATTTTCTTTCTTCCTGAGATTTAGAACCTGTGATCACAGAAAAGCAATTTCCCAATTACTAGATTAAAAGGAGGAGGAAACTGTATTTTTTTCTTTGTATTATTTGCCTACAATTCTCTTTTCCTAAGATAATAAAAAATTGGTATGAGACAAAATACAGGAGGAGGTACATTTAACACTATATGTGTTATATCTGCACATGTTTTATTTCATTGTATTTTATATTGTGTTCACTTTTATGTTTATTTTAGGCACTTTGTGCCATCTGTAAACCACCCCAAGTCCCCTTGGGGAGATGATAGTGGGATATAAGAATAAAGTTGTTGTTATTGTCATTATTATTATTATTATTATTATTATTATTATTATTATTATTATTATTACTACTACTATACCCGCCACACGTTGCTGTGGTCAATCTTCCCTCCCTCTTTCTCTTCTTTCTTTTTCTCCTTTCTTCCCTGCCTCTTTCCTTCCTTCCTTCCTTCCTTCCTTCCTTCCTTCCTTCCTTCTCTTCTTCTTCCCTTCCTCCTCCCCCACCTTTTCTTTCCCTTCCTCTTTTCCCCCTATCTTCCTTCTCTACCTATTCTTGGACTGCAACTCCCAGCAGTCCACCTGATCTACCTACCTACCTACCTACCTACCTACCTCTATCTAATCTATCTATCCAGAGGATTGCTGGGAGTTGCAGTCCAGGAATAGGAAATTGGAAATATGCAGAGATTGGGATGCTCTCAAAGAAATCCAAGGAGAAGAAAGCTTGCATCTTGGAAAAAGTGTGTCTGGATCATCTTCCTCTCCTAAAGGTACTGGTCTAGGGGGTGCTGGGAGCTATAGTCCAGAAGAGAGTGTGGATATGCTATTGTGTGTTTTGTTTGGCAGGGGGAGTCATTTCTGCACATGCACTGTAGTGTCTTTTTGCTTTTTTGGCCCTTTAAGTCCCTTCGGCTGTGTTTTTCAGTGTTTTTATGAGTGATGGTCACTCACTGGCCTGATAGGTGTATTATCTCCAAATTTGATGTCAATTCGTCCAGTGGTTTTTGAGTTATGTTAATCCCACAAACAAAGATCACATTTTTATTTATATAGATGGTTGTTGTTACTATTATTATTCTATATATCTGTCAGGAGACTTAGCCCCAAACTAAACTTGATGACTGCCATGCCACTTGCTGCTCTGCATTTTACTCATTAAACCAAAACTGTTCTGAATAAAACAGTTGTATAATGGTGATGAGCATGTAGGGGTGACATTTGTTGTGGGAGACATTTGTTGTCGGTGGAGCTAACTGCCAACTGTGAGGAGCAGGCCTTTTTAAAATTCAGTCTTTGGTCAGCGAACCAAAGTGGAAGGTGCGTTGAGAAACCGAACCAAGGGATTTAAGTCTTCATCCTGTGTGTTTAGAGAGTCAATTGGACCTGTTTAAATAAGTATTTAAGTGTTTAACCAAGGGGAAAGAAACCCCAGTAGTAACCCATAACTTCAGTGGGATAGCTGAAGGGAGAAAAAGGCAAGCCAATGCCTTGAATGTCAGTCAAGAAAAGAAAGATACTTTGAAGTGAAATAAGTTTAAAACTAGTCTGGTGGAAGTAAAAGCCATGCTGAGAGTTATATTGGAAACTGTTACGAGTATTTGTGTTAACTAAAGCCAACTGTAACAACATTTAAAGGAATACATAGTAGCCATCAAACTTTGTACACCTGTGAATCCTTGAATAAATATTTCCTTGAATAAATATTTCCTATAGCCCGAAAAAACCCACAAGAACTGAAATATTTCCTTGTTCAGTTCTTTATAATAAAGACTCATGTCCAGTTATTGAGAAGAATATTTACCTCAGAAGAAGGTGGCTGAAGATACTGGAAGAAAGGATTCTGGTTGGAATAATGAGTTACTCCTTTTAAAAAGTGCCTTAGGTAAAAATATTTATTTAAAAGTCAAGCCTCACATCAATGTTTCTGGCCTCATTCAAACATACAGACTCTAATAAATCTATATAAATAAAAATGTGATGTTCGTTTGTGGGATTAACACAACTCAAAAACCACTGGACGAATTGACACTGAATTTGGACACAAGACAGCTTTCAGGCCAACAAGTGACCATCACTCATAAAAACACTGGAAAACACAGCGGAAGAGACTTAAAAAGCCAAAAGATAAAAAATACATTACAACGCATGGGCGAAACCACACACATATATACACAAACACACAGATATACACATATACACAAATATACATACACACAAAGCACTATACACAGACTGGGCCACAGCAACATGTGCCAGGGGATGGCTAGTAATGGTAGGTTACATACCTGTGACCATCTTTCTTCGAGTGGTGCTCTGCGAATTCACACTTGTGGAGAGACTGCGCCTGCGCGGGCTCCAACGGAAACTTCTATATTTTAAAACTTTTCAAGTTTTGGCGGTAACCCCGCCCAGCCCCGGCAGGGGATAAAAGGGCGCCCCGCGGCACACCAATCCAATTCCTACGCCGCTACGGTAGCGAGAAATTGGAGGTTTGCTTAGAGGGGAGGCTGGGCGAGTTAGTGTGAATTCGCAGAGCACCACTCGAAGAAAGATGGTCACAGGTATGTAACCTACCATTTTTCTTCGTGGTCTCT